CTCTCTCTCTCTCTCTCTCTCTCTCTCTCTCTCTCTCTCTCTCTCTCTCTCTCTCTCTCTCTCTCTCTCTCCTTTCTTTCTGCGTTTTGTTTTTTATGTTAAGTTTTGGTTCAAAACCTTTTCGCTTCAGTTCTCAACGCAAATGTATTGGAAATCTAGTATTGAATGTGATTTGTCTGTGAAATGAAAACCATTTTCTCTCACTGTTAGCAACACTCGACTCTTTGTATTATCTCTTCGTATACTGTATTTCATTTGCTTTTATTATTTATCGAAATAAATAAATACTTGAGTTGTGAGTGAATGAGAGGATAGGGATGATAGGGAGAGGACAAGCCATGCGATGGCATATAATTGGCATCAATTAAAGCATATATAAAAGTGTCCGAAACACACTTTGCGATTGCATTGCATTGTATTTGTGTAATAAATGCCATATAGAGAGCGATAGACACAGACATACGGAGTCTATTCCCATGGGATGTGTGGCCCACACCTGCATCTGACCCGTCAAACCTGTTATGTAAGTGAGGGCTCGGATTGGCAAATGCATGCCATCACTACCACCACATCCCCACCACTGTCTCTCTCTCTCTCCTTTCTTTCTGCGTTTTGTTTTTTATGTTAAGTTTTGGTTCAAAACCTTTTCGCTTCAGTTCTCAACGNTCTCTCTCTCTCTCTCTCTCCCTCCCCATATCAATGTCTCAGTCCATCGACTGTATCGATGGCGGCGTTTCGATCACTTGCCCATCGGTTATGTCTCTCTGAGTTGTAATGACAATACAATACAAAAAACATTTAACCACTTGTTTGAGACATATGAGAGAGGAATCGCTTTTAACTAAAAAGAGTTGTATTTATTTCGATGTGTTTTTTGTGAATTTTATTTTTGAGTTATTTGTGAAATGCATTTTCCGTCACTTTTGTGAATTGAAAACTTTATTTTACAGTCAATTTTATTTGATTTGAGTGAAACTCTTATTAAATTACTCTTTATTTTATATATATTTAAGTCTCAAATGTTTGCTTCAGTTTTCTGTTTAGTTTAGAGAAAAACAGTGCTATTATTTGAATGAATGTGTTTTCTGTTTGATTTGACAGCAAAATATTTTATCTCAAATATAAAGTCTCTTTTCATTTCAAAGATTTTATTGCTTTTAACGTAAAGTTAAAGTAATTCAGAGAAGAATTGTTCACATTATATGCGATAATATTTTTTGACAACTCTTTTTTGATAACAATAAGCAATTAGTTTTGCATTAAGTTTTGTGTCAATAATACGCCTATAAATCAAATGTATATTTTATGAGAGAAAAGTTATTTTCATATTTGTTGAACGAATAACTATTTCTGGTGTTTTGTATGTAATAAACCGGTGTTTTAAATATTGTTGTTTCTCTGTCTGTGCCCTCTGGACAGCCATCGACTCGTCACCGATCGACGCATTTGTGATTGGCTCCAGAGCTCGGGAACAGCTCCAACACATCGCCAGAGACACCAATATAACGCCGCGAGATATCGCACAACTATCCAAGATTTTAAGTAAGACATCGTTTGATTGTTTGGCTCTTTGTGTTCTTCACATATCAATCATACCTTATGTGAAGTTTTTTCTCTCATAAAACATTATCATTTGACGTCCATTTGATGAGTGAATGTGTTGTTGTGTTTTTAGGTGAGACCGAAGAAACAAACAATAAAGTGATTTCAAACACAACCACAACCACTGCCACAACGCACCAGTCCTTTAGTGAGAGACAACAATCGCCGCCACAAACCAGTGATCCATCCGAAGACCACAAGAAGAACCGAATTGACTCACAAGAGGAAGAAATAGTGAACTATGAACTAAGCGACGAGAACATGGAATTAGTGGAGTTAAGTGCTTCTCATTCCCTGTCGCCCAACAGGCAGACAACGGGAGGTCATCGGGAACTGCCAGTTGATGTCCCGGAATCCTTTGTCGGTCAGTCCCTCTATTTGCTTATTATTATATTTATATTTGTTTTTTTGTGGCATTATTTGAACTGTTAATTGAGTTCACATAAAACGCCCATTTGTTGCGAAAAACAAACCATTTTGACAACATTTGTCTTTTAACGACAGGTGTAGTGAAACAGACCCCCCGATATCCGCCCCCACATCCGCCGCCGGCACCGCCACAGCGAACCTCATCGCAAGCGCCACAGAATGAGAAGATTCGCAAATATTCCGAAGAAATTAGCCAAAAGAAAGCGGAGGAAGAGTTCCTGCGGTCGAGTCTCAGAGGTAGCAAAAAACTACAACAACTCGAACACAATAAGCCGAAAGAGTTGGAACCCGTAGTCAATAATGCCTTCGAAGCCGATGACGACGACGACCCCCAACTCATCGACTCCGACACCAATACAGGTATGGCTCATAATAATGATATAAACTCCAGACATAAGCCAAGAATTTTTGTGATAAAAATATAAAAACAAATGATAACTCTTTTCTTCTTCTTTTGCTTTGATTTTTTGACATTTATTTTGAATGGCATTCCATTTCCACATCATTTCATTGCATTGAATGTCACTCTTCTTGATGTTGTTGTCGTTGATGTTGTTTTGGTTGCCCTCAAACTCAACCCAAAATAAATAATATTAAATAATACACAATAATAATAATAAAGTGTTGTCTCCGGACTTGAATGCAGTGTTAGAACGCCTTATAAACAATTTGAACGGAGAAGTGAAGGATATTATAAATCAATCAAATTTAGCAAAACTTATAGCAATCTATACAACTATTATGCAAACGCAACAAAAACAAAAACACCGCTCATTACCACAAACCGTCATCACAAATGCCGCATCCAATACGGCAGACCTCGTCCAAGAAGTGATACTATTATTGCAAGAAGAAGTGAGTCGCTTATCATCCTTTCCTTTCCCTCTATCTCTCCCTTTCCTTTCCCTTTAGTATATGTTATAATGTGTTTCCCGTCTATCGGTTTAATAACTCTAATGACATGTCATTCTCTCAACGATAAAGGCTTTGAATACCGAAGCGGCGGAACTGTTAGAGATATTGACCCGCTTTGAATTGGAGGGACTTTGCTATGCATACGATCACATCGCACAGTCATCAACTGTCGGCCCAATACACCTCTCGCCCAACCACGACATTAACGGTATGTGCTTTTGCTCACACTTTCACCATTACATTACATTAAATTCACAGCCAATTGATTATATAAAACAATACTTGACTCGTTGTGAAGAATATGCTTTCATTTGTGTGCCATAATAGGCAGTGTTATTGAGTACTTATAAATAATTATCGAAAAATGCAAATCACTTAAAGAATGGCCATATATTATGTTTAGAATGATTACAAGAATATAATTGAAATTCCAGTATTGTTTGCGAGAGAATTGTTCACTTAAAGTATATTTGGTATGCATTTGACTGAATGATCGATCAATAATGCGAGACTCGTTGAGACGCCCCCAACACTATTGTGCACAACAAAACAATATATTACAAAACTATTGTCATTAAGTTATTAACACTTTTAGGTTTTATTTAACACTTTTGAAGCGCTGTATTGTTTTAATAGAAAATATTTCATTTTGTCATTTGCGAGCCAAAGGAATGGACGAGTAATTAATTTGTCGTTCAATTAGAAATAAGTGTCGAAAACACTATTTGGTTGAATAGATTCCGTTTTGTATAGTGTTTTATATATTAGTATTCTGTAGATTATATACAGAATATGTGTGCCTTTCAGTCCCTCTTTTACTTTTATTGAAATACTTTTATATTATTTTGCGTGAAATATATGTTTTACTCTTTTCTTCGTTTTTCTCGTTGAATCCCAAAGAATATATTTGCGAATACTTTGTATGCATTATAAACAGTACAATATATAGTGTATATATACGGCATATAACTCATCAATTTATCACAAAGAAATGTTTTTATGCATTTATTTAATGGTATAAAATATTTAACGATTCGCTCATATTTTTTGATAAAATATTTATGTTTTTTGACACTTATTTCTGGCACTGAATCCATCAAATTAGTGGAATATATTTGCATATCATATCATATATCCAATGATATATTGAAATAGTTTTTCTGAGTTATTGTTTACCATGAATTATATGAATTATTTATATAGAATTCATTTATTTTAATTATAATTAAAGGAACAAAGTTTTGTTTTGGGAGAATTACATAAACATTAGTGCTTTTGATTTATATCCCGCTCTGAATGTGTGCACAGAGTTTTAAAATTGAATTATATTTTCTGAAAAATAATTTTGTATTTCAGTCGACGACAAAAACGATGTCGAGATCTTAGACGAAGTAATCGATGACTCGAGCGTTAAAGTGGTTCGCATAGAGAAGTCTTCGTGCGAGCCGTTGGGGGCGACCGTACGTAATGAACAGGACGGCAGTGTCATCATTGGCCGCATTGTCAAAGGAGGTGCCGCCGAGAAGTCAGGTATTCATATCGCAATATACAGTATTCTTATAAATTTTATGTCATGTTTTCTCGTACGAGACGTAGAATTGTGAGAATTTATGAATAATTTGTTGCTATTTTTTGGTAAATGATTTTTCAATGTAAAGGTTTGTTACACGAAAACGACGAGATTCTCGAAGTGAATGGCATCGAAATGAAAGGACGAAATGTTAACCAAGTCTGCGATCTTCTCGCGGAAATGACTGGTTAGCACTTAAAACATTTTTATTGCTTTCTTTCTCCGGTTTTTTTGGTATAATTTTTCTCTTCCAGTCGTAATATTAGTCAAAAAAAACTTCAAGACTTAATCCAATAAATAAAACTCTCTCTCTCTCTCTCTCTCTCTCTCTCTCTCTCCTCACTAATGCTCAATGTTTTTATCAACAATTTTCGGTTGATTTCCTCGCTCTTCAGGAACGCTAACGTTTGTAATTGCAATCCGCGATAACGTTAAGGACTGCGATCCCTCTCCACAACAAATGATTCATTTAAAAGCGCTCTTCGATTACGATCCCGACGAAGACCTATACATTCCGTGTCGTGAACTGGGAATATGTTTCTCAAAAGGTATGTACAGTACAGTCGCGATGAGTATCAATGGTTTTGATTTATTTTTATTGCCGTTTTTTCATTGAGCAATCGCTGACTTTCCAAATGGCAATCAATAACTGTTTTAATCAATGATTTATTTCTCTCTTTACTCGCACTCATCAAAAGGTGATATTTTACATGTCATCGATCAGAATGACATGAATTGGTGGCAGGCGTATAGGGAGGGCGAACACGACCAGTCACTCGCCGGTCTCATCCCATCGATTCACTTCCAGATTCAGTCAGTATTTGTACCCAAAATTGTTTTTACGCCAATTTATGTCATGTTATTTGTTTTGGCGTTTAATTTATTGGTTTGAATTTGTGTTTTATTTGTTTTATTCAATGACCGGTCTATAGGAGAGAGACGATGAAACAGTCGATACTGAATGATAGCACAAACATATCGACCATTAATAGTAAAAACAGACATAACAAGAAGACGAGTGCATCGGCTCTACTGTTAAATTGCGGCAAAAAGTCCACTCATCGCAAGAAGAAGAATCGCAAATCTCAAAGTACTTATTAAACCAAAAATAACAGACAATTTTAATGATTGTTTCGGCCCTTTAAATAACTATTCATTTATTATTTTTTATTGTCTCTTCCATTACCTTCTCTCTCGTAATACAGGTTTGATATCAACTTCTGATGAAATACTCAGCTATGAAGATGTCTCGCTTTACTATCCCAGGGCTAACATTAAAGTAAGTCCTCTCTTAAACACCATTATTTATTCACTATTTATTAACTATAAAACTATCGGATATTTAAACAACAAAATCGTATGTTTTTTTGCGCAAATTCTTACGCCAATTATATTCAATAAATTTTGACAATTACTTAATAAATAGTCGTAAAATATTTCTTCCCTTAAACTCTTGTAAATCAATGTCTGCTTTAATATATAAGAAACCCAATAAAGACATGCGTTATATATGGCGTTCACTAGTTTTATATTATAGGCAAACTTCTTCTGCTGTCAAATGAAATAAAGTATTATATTTTTGTGAAATGAATTCATAGACTAATATTTGGTTTAAAGGATTTGACGAACAAAATGGTTATCGAATTGATTTGTTTATTTAATCGAAACTTAATATACTTTACTGTAGTTTTCTTCTTCTTCTTCTTCACTGTAAGCCTTCAATACATAATATGTTGTGTAGAAAACATATGGAGAGAGAAATGAGACAACAATTCAGTGAGTGCTTCACTCATTTAGTATTGCTGTAAATCAATACATAAGAAGTAGTCGCCGATGCCTTCAAAGTTCATTGACTATCCGTTTAATTGAACCAAAACTTTGAGGTTTTTGATCGAAAAAAGCATTATTTTTTGGAAATCATTGAAGTATTTTTGAAATTAAATTTTCTATAAAATTATTATTTTTTCACTTTAGATGTGTTTGCGTTTTGTATTTGAAACGAAATCACACGAAAAATAACTATTATTTTGCGCGAAATCCTCTTTACACTGATTTCGGGTGTAAAACATGTTTCATATCACTTATTGACTTCTTCTATACCCTAATTCACCAAAGATAAGCCGAAAACATAGATTGTTGAAAGTAAAAGTTCATATCGTAGATTGATTCTTGTATATTGACTGATTTTCAATACAGTATATGAATACACATTTTACACTAACCATGTTGTTCAATATAATTCCACAGTTTCTAGCTTAAAAATTTAATGTTTATTAAAATTTGAATTTATTAATCTTTTGAGTGAGTCTTATAATAACTAAAAGCAAAGATCCATTGATATGCCGGATGTACTAAAAAGGAAATTCTTATATTCTTTTATATTATTTGATTAGATAAGCGGCGGCTTATTTATGATGAATTATGGTATTTTTGTGACAAAATTATATTTTTATTTGTTTCTATCATCTGATGAATCGCTTCTAAACGAAGCCAATGATGAGACCCTAATCTACAGAATATTTTATCATATTATTCATTGAATTTAATGAAAAGATTTGATTTAATTAAACGAATTTAATTATATCTGAAATATTTTGTAATTAAAATAATACAATTCTTGTGAATGGATTGCATTCAGGGATACGTTTCTATAAATAATATTTTATTTGTAAGTCTCTCTCTTTCTCTCTCTCCATCGTTCGTTCTCTTGTAATAACTAGAAAAATATAATAATAAAAATTGATTTTTGGTGGATTTAATTTTGTCACTCTATTGAGCCGCCGGCGAAGTGCACCCAATCTCTAGTCATACCTGTATATCAATAAGTCTTATAAGTTAAGAGTGAAATTATATCAACTCAATTTCTCTCTCTCTCTCTCTCTTTCTCTCTCTCTCTCTCTCTAGTAAATTATTGATTTTATGTTTAACATAAGTCCGCGAGAGCTCTAACGAGTTGTAAGAGTTTTGGGAATATAAAGTCTAATTGTGGGTAAATTTTAGATAAATAGTTATAACCATTTTTGGGATCATTTTTTGTTGTGTAATTTCAAAACCGTATGAGAAGTTTGTGAACTCAAAGCTAATTAATGGCTCGAAGCGAGTGTTTCGCATAAATAGATGAGTAATTGCTTAAAGATTTTTATGAAATTATATTTCATAATAACTTCACTATAAAAACAAGAGATAGAAAATATTTACAGAGTTTGAGGGAAATATAACATTGAATTTAGGTTTACTTATGTGTGTGTGTGTCGTGCATCAGACGCTGCCTCAGCTCATGTCGACCTATATTTGTCGGTCCAATCAATACAATCGGACGCTAGAAGTGGAAGAATAAGAAGAAGAATAGGGGAATGAAAAACACGCACAA